TCCTCCTCCTCCTCCTCCCGCCCCGTGACCCATAACCGCCAAGCTTGACAATTTGTGCCGTGGATCGATCCTGCGAGTCGCAATATTGGCCAGCCTCCATGCGGAATCGATGTGGAAACCAGTTGCCAGTGACTAGCCGTAGACGCGCTCAGGTTTACATTTGGCGTCCCGCCGCACCCTGCACCTTGTGATCAGGGTCTGATGTCTGAGCTAGCGGTCAATTTCAGATCCGGTGCAGGCACAGTGTTCGACCTCTCGATTTTTGAATTCGCATTTCGAGCATGTGCGCGCACACGGCGCAATGTCGCAGCCTTAGCACTCCATCTCTCATGGACCAGCGATCCGGCCCCGGGGCCCCACAGGCCGCAGCACACCATGGGCAGATGCACAACACTAAGTTCCCCCCTCCCCCCCTGGGCTTCCCCGCGGGGCCTCCCCAGAGCTTCTTCAGAGTTCCCCTGGCCTCCCCAGAGGGGGCTTCGGGGCAGGTTCCGAGTATGCTACAGACGGCCAGGATGTCCTGGCCCGAGATGGCCTCAAGACAGCCCAAGAGGCCCCCAAGACGCCGAAAAGAGGGAGGAATGTTGGGGCCTCTTGGGAGCCTCTTGGGGGCCTCTTCGGGCTTCGGGCCCGAAGAGGCAGAGCCGCCCCATTTCCGAAGGACAACGCGTATTTCTAACCATTTCGCTGCTTTGAGTTCCGAAGAGCCCAAGACGGTTCAGGAGGTCCCCGAGAGAACCCCACGCCAGTCCAAGGTGTCCCCAGGAGGGCCTCAAGAGGGCCCAAAAAGGGCCCCATAGACGGCCCAACCAGACCGCAGGAGCGCTCCAGATGGCCACGCGAGGGCCCCAAGAGGGCTCCAGGGCCGTGGCATCGCTCGGACGTGTGCATATTTTTTCTCGACGAGAACCATCGAGGACCATCCTGGACCATCGAGCAACATAAATCACGCACGAAACCGACAAATGCACGGGACATGGACGTCCGAGCGATGGCAAGGGGGGGTTAATTCGAAGCCACATGACGAGGCCTCCGCCCCAAGAAGACCCAAGAGGCCCAAACAGAGCCCCGAAGGGCCCACCAGGAGGCTTGAAAGAACTGCTTCCAGAAGGGTGCCCCGAGGCTCCCCCGGAGACCCGAAACTGGCATCCAAGAGGCCTCGGACCAAACACCCAGGGCTCTGTGGCAGCATGGGCAGAATGCCACTCGGAGGCGCACGCGTGGCCGAGGGGCACCGTGCCCCCTCCTCCCTGCCCTCTCCTCCTGGTCTTCGGTGTCACAGACTCCACTTGCAAACTAGAACACATGCATTTACAACAATTGGTGAAGCACTAACGCTCCATACATCATCAATACATCTACAGCTCCCTCTGCTCCTGCCCCTCCCTGTCCGGACCGACTGGGCCCTGGACCGAAGACCACCAGGGGCACCCAGGGTGCACGGGGTGCCCCAAATCCCCTCCTGGAGCCTTTCCTGGAGCGTTCCCCGAGTCTCCCCGGAGCCCCCCCCGAAGCTCTGGGGCCCACGGTTCAAACGACGCGAAGATCGGGACAAAATCGGATCGGGATAATTCGAAATCTCTGAGAATCGGCGGGTTTGGAGGATGTATTGGGCGCCGCGGCCGCTCCAGAGCGTTCCGGAACGCTCTGAGAGCGCTCCGGAACGCTCTGGAGCGATTTATCCCGATCCTGGCCCTGTTTTAACGGTGGAATTTCCGGACGTCCCAGATGGCTCACGCACTGTTCCAGCACGGCCCAAGAAGGCTTCAGGGCGGCCCAAGAGCCCCCCCAGACGCCCCATGATGGCTCCAAGAACCGAGGGCCCCGAATAGCAAAAACCGGTCCGTTCCACGAGAGAAACGCATATGTTCGTCATGTGCGCGCGTGTTGTCCCACGGGTGTCCCCGGCGCCTCCGAGAGGCCCCCAATGCCGCAGAAGAGACCCCTAAGAGGACCCGCGCGGACCCAGCATGGCACCAAGACGGCCTCAGGGGCGCACAGGGCGGGCCGAAGACGCTTCAAGAGGGCCCCAAGAAGCCCCAAAAGAGGTCCTCAGAGCCCCCCCGAGCGGCCCTCCGATCGCCCTCGGCGCCTTAAGGCGGCCCCCACAGCATCCCGGCGGTCCCCAACAAGAGTTAAGTCGGGCGTGTCCCAGTACAGGGGGATTCTCGACGAAAATTAAGATTATTCAGAAAATATTCGCAAACGGTCAAAAAATATTCAAAAAGTAGTCCCCAGACTATTTTTGGACTATGTTTTGATTATTTTTCGTTTTTTATTTTTCGTCGAAAATTCCCCCCGGGGACACGCCCGACTTAAAACAAGAGACGGATCATACAATCGCGGATGCGGGACAATGAGAGGTGGAGATGGCGCCAATGTGTGGTAGTTTCGGGTTTTTTTGGGGGGCGCCACGAGGGCCCGCAGACGGGCCAACAGGGTCCTCAGAGATCCCCAAGACGGTGGAAAAGGGCCCCGTGTCGCCGAACGATCGGTCCAAGACGCGCAATATGGCCTCCAGATGGCCCAAGACGCCCCCGAGACGCCGCAAGATGCCTTCAAGAAACCTCTCCGGGATGGCCCCCAAAAACAAGCATAATTGATTGTGATACGTTCTCGAAATATTGCTCGCTCTTGGGAACCTTGGTGTGAAGAATGTGTGTACGTCACTGTGAGCTCGTCGGGACCATGGTGTACTTTGGCGCCGCGGCCGGTCAGAATGAACAGACCAGAGGGGGGGCTCGAAACACGGTCGGCTGGTCGGAATAAAGCAGAGGGGGGGCCACGGGAGGGGCCACGGTCGGGCAGGGGGTGAATGGAATGAGCAAAGGTGGGGTTGGCACAGAGGGAAACTGGGGGGGGGGCACGGTCGGGCTGGGGGGGAGCACGGTCGGTCGGTCGGAATAGGCAGGCGGGGGGCACGGGGAAGGGATGCAGCAACAGGGGGCCACGATCAGGCAGCGGTGGGGGGACACGGTCCGGTCGTCAATTACAGCGGGGGCCCAGGGTTTAAGGGGGGGTGGGGCGGCACGAGGGGCACGGACCCAGCTGCGGGGAGCACGGGGGACCGCGTCGGGCGGGGGGCATGGTCAGGTTGGAATGGAAGGGCGGAGTGGGGGGGGGCAACGGTCGGGCAGAGGAGAGGGGGGGGGGGGCACGGGGGCCGGCGGGGGGCGCGCCCGCGGGCTGCGGTCGGGCGGGGGGGGGGGACGGTCGTCCATCGGAAGAAACCGAGGGCGGAGTGCAAAAACGGGTTTAAGGGGGGGGGTCACGGGGGGGCCACGGCGGGTTCGAGCAGGGTTTGGGGGGCACGGGTCGGGCCGCCAGATCGGGAACAAACGCAGGGGGTAGGGCCATGGACAGAGCGGGGGGGGTTGGGGTGAGGGGGTGGGGGGTTGGGGTGTGTTGGTGGGGTGGTGCTGGGGGGAGTGAGCAAACCGTTGACGGTATTTTGGGCATAAGGGGGAGGGCCGTGTCGGTCACGTGGTCTAAAGATACTCAAGGAGGGTGGGGGGTGGGTAGTGGTGGGGGGGTGCAGCGACACAGATGGTGGGACTCACGGGTTGCCACGGTTCGGAACGGTGTCGGGGTGGGGGGGGTGGGGGGGTCGCCCCGGGGGCCGGGCCGTCGTGATCAATTCAGAGGGGGCGTGGCCGCGGGGGTCAGGAGGCGCGTTGCACTCAGGGGGGTCAAGCAGGGGGAGGGGGCACGGTCGGTCGGTCGGAAGAAGCAGACGGGGGGGGGGCGACGGAAGGGGGGGGGGGGGCGCAGGGGGCCACGGTCGGGCACGGTGCACCGACACATGGCAGCACGCATCCCACACCGGGCACGCTTCCCAGCGTGCCCAGGAGGGACCACGGCCAGCACGTCTCGCAGCACACCGAGGCAACACACACACGCACACACACACACACATTCCAGCAGACGTGGGCAGCACAACCCGGCGCACACCTTGGCACACGTCCACACCACCCAGCACCTCCAGCGCACGTCCAAGGGGGCCACGGCCAAAACATACCGCAGCACGCCGAGGCAATCACGCATTCCAGCACACAGAGGCAGCACAAACCTGGCACACATCTTGGCACACCTCTACGCGTGCCAGCACCACCAGCGCACATCCGAGTGTGTCCACAAGTCTCAGCACACCGATCCCAGCACACCGAGGCAGTGCACGCACACGTCCCAGCACCGAGAGCACCGAGGCACACCGAGGCAGTTCACCGGCACATCCCAGCACGCAGCCCGGCCCGGCACACCGAGGCGGTCACGCATCCCAGCACACGGAGCCTGGCCCACATCCCAGGCACGGTTTTGCGGTCGAAGTAATGCAGTGTGATGTTACTCCGATTGTCAGGGGCTCAAACAAACGCCCCTACCCTGAATTACGAGGCGCTGTGCGATGAACCCCCTGTGGGCTTACAGGGTAAATGCTGCGTTTCGCGCGTGTCGCGCAGCGTCCTGGCGGCTCTCTGGCCTCTGGGAGCTCCCAGGAGGTTTACAGTCCGCGCACTTGTAACCCAGGGTAGGGGCGTTTTTTCATCCCTCAAGGTAGGTATGATAATAAGCCTCAAGAGTCACCCAAGGAGCCTCTAAGAAGCCCCCAAGAGGCCCGCAGTGGACGCCCAGGGGAGGCCGAGCGCAGATCCAAGAACACCGCGCGGAGCGCTATGTTTATGTCGTTGTTTCTTTGTCAGGTCCCTCAGTTTCTGATGCGGGCGATCGTTGTATCCACTTCCAGTGCGTCTTGGAGTTTTGGGCTCTCTTCCCTAGAAGCTGGAGGCACACTGGATATGGATAACATTCTGGGCCCAAAAGGTTCGATTCTCATCCATCTCCAGTTCGCCTCGGCCTTGCGGCACCCCCTCCCGAAAAGTCCAAGACGCCGTGGGTATGAATATAAGTATTGCCCTCATATGAGGGGCCCGTCCCTAAGATTGTCATCGCCTCTTGGCTCCCCAACCTTGTGGAGAGGGATACAGGCTCGAGGCTGGTCATGTTGGACCGCGGGGCCCTCACAGGGAGGGGCCTGTCACCTTGAGCCGCCTCTGACGGTCTCAGGGTTGGAGCATCTTCTTCGAGAGGTCGACAGTGGTAACAAGTGCGTGGCTCCCGCTGCTGTGCAGCATACCGAGACGTGATCGCGTCGCACAGAATTCAGGACGGAGTTTGTTTTACATTTTCGGCTTGGGGGCCCTCGCCGGGCCCCGGGGCCGTCAAAATATGACCCAGGACGACACACTGGTCCCGAGGAAAGGGTCGGGACTTCCAGGGACCCCGTATTGAAACAAATCAGGACGTCGCGTGTCTGGGATGGCGTGGCTCCCGCTGCTGTGCAGCATAGCGCCGGCTCCCCGCTGCAGCGCTCGCCTCCTCGTCCGCCTCGTCCTCCGCGTCGTCCTCCGCGTCCTCCGCGTCCTCCTCGTCCTCCTCGTCCTCCGCGTCCTCCTCTCCCTCCTCGCCCTCCTCGCCCTCCTCGCCCTCTTCGCCCCCCTCGCCCTCCTCGCCCTCCTCGTCCCCCTCGCCCCCCTCGTCCTCCTCGTCCTCCTCGCCCCCCCAGGCCGCCCGCGGCGAGCGGCGTCGGAGGACCTGGACCTCCCGAGGAGGCAGCACACCCCTCCGGCGCGGCCTCGCGCGGAGACCGCCGCGCCGGACGCGGTGGAGGCCCCGCGCGCCCCAGCGAGCGGCGGGCCGAGCGGGGGGTTCCCGAGGAGGAAGAGGCTCCCGCGTCGCTATATACCCCCCTCCTCCTCCTCCTCCTCCTCCTCCTCCTCCTCCTCCTCCTCCTCCTCCTCCGTCCTCCTCTCCTCCCTCCTCCCTCCCTCCTCCTCCCTCATCCCTCCTCCCTCCTCCCTCCTCCCTCCTCCTCCCTCCTCCCTCCTCCCTCCTCCCTCCTCCCTCCTCCCTCCTCCTCCCCCCCCTCCTCCTCGGCACGGGCTGGTTTCGCCAGGGCTGGTGTCGCCCGACGCTGGTTTCGCCGGCACTGGTTTCGCCCGACGCTGGTTTCGCCCGACGCTGGTTTCGCCCCGCTGGTTTCGCCCCGCTGGTTTCGCCGGGACTGGTCTCGCCGAGTCCGCTGCCGCCGCCGTCGTTGTCGTCGTCGTCGTCGTCGCTGTCGGGTCGGGTCGGGTCGGGCGAACCCTAACGGGCGGGTCGGGTCGGGACGGAACGGGCGGACCCTAACGGGCGGGCCCGGTCGGGCGGGCGGGACATTAAAGAGTAGTGCATAATCGAGTGGGCACGCGAGAACCCTAACGTTCGGGTCGGGTCGGGTCGGGCGGACCCTAACGGGCGGGTCGGGTCGGTCGGTCGGGTCGGGCGGACCCCACCAGGCGGGCCGGGTCGGTCGGGCGGGACATTTAAAGTGTGGTGCATAATCGAGTGGGCACGCGAGAACCCTAACGGTCGGGTCGGGTCGAGTCGGGCGGACATTAACGGGCGGGTCGGGTCGGGACGGGACGGGGTAGACCCTGACGGGCGGGTCGGGTCGGGCGGGCGGGACATTACAGTGTGGTGCGTAATCGAGTGGGCACGCGAGAACCCTAACGTTCGGGTCGGGTCGGGTCGGGCGGACCCTAACGGGCGGGTTGGGACGGGACGGGCGGACCCTAACGGGCGGGCCGGGTCGGGCGGGCGGGACATTAAAGTGTGGTGCATAATCGAGAGAGCACAAGAGAACCCTAACGGTCGGGTCGGGCGGACCCTAACGGGCGGGTCGGGTCGGGTCGGGACGGACAAACCCTAACGGGCAGGTCGGGTCTGGTGGGGTCCAGCGGACCTAACCCTTTTCCCTCCTCCCTCCGTCTTGCCCTCCCTCAGCCACCTCACCACTCCACCCACCTCCTCCTCCCTCCACCTCCCACACCTCCTCCTCCTCCTCCCTCCTCCTCCTCTCCTCCTCCTCTCCTCCTCCTCCTCCTCCCCTCCTCCTCCTCCTCCATCGCCTCCTCCGCCTCCGCCTCCTCCTCCTCCCTCCTCCTCCTCCTCCTCTCCTCCTCCCCTCCCATCCTCGTCATTCTCCTCCTTCTCCTCCCTCCTCCTCCTCCTCTTCCTCCTGCACCTCCTCCAGTAGCCGGGCGAAAGCAGCCGGGCGAAACAGGCCTGGGCGACACCAGCGCTGCGCGAAACCAGCCGGGCGGAACCAGCTGGGCGAAACCAGCCCCGGGCGAAATTCCTTCGTTTCTTCCTCCTCCTCCTCCTTCTCTCCCCCCTCCTCCTCCTCCCTCCTCCTCCTCCTCCTCCTCCTCCTCCTCCTCCTCCTCCTCGGGTCGCCTACGGCCCATGTGGAAACTGTGCACATCTAGGGGTCGACGCTGTGAAGCAATCACGACGTTGCGGGGATCTGGACCCGTCCCTCGCCCTCGCCCCCTTGTGGTCCTCCTGGGAGGAGGCCCTTGTCGCCGCCGCTGAAGCCGCCTCGAACCTTCCTGGTCCTAGCGCACCCCGGGGAGAGGCTTATGGAGCGGCGGTATCGGGCATCTTTCCGCGACGACAAGCGGTATGGTTACGCCGGGGGTGTGGTTTGCGATCGGCACCGGCGGGGCCCGGGGAGCACGACGCTGTCCTCGTCGGACCTCCCAGAGGCGAGGCGGAGAATCGTGTCGAGGCCCTCGCCCGCACCACAGGGTGCCCCCAGGGCGCCAGTTGCAAGCCGCACCCTGTGCAAACCACACCCCTCGGAGTCGCCGAATCTTTTCCTCGATATCAGTGCTTGCGCCGAAAGAGTCCCAGCGGAGGTTGAAAGATTTGGCGGAAGTTTCCGGCCGCGTCCCGGCTGCTGGCTCCAGGCCAATTTATGTGGGTGGCGGGGTTCACAGCATTCCACGTTCCCGAGTTTGCGGGTTCACAGGTTCCCAGTCGATCTCGTTATCGATTTTCGATGGATTCCACGATCGAATTCATTATCAGATTCATGATCGATTTCAGAAACCATCCTCACCCAATCGATGTCATTATTGATGTATCGTTATGAATTTCGTATCGATCACACTAATGATATCACTCTCGATATCATTATTGATCTCACCCAATCGACCTCACTATCTGTCTCGCTATCGAACTCACTATCGACCTCTCTATCGACCTCACTGTCGATCTTACGATCGATCGCACTAACGATCTCCCTATCGATAGTGCGATCGATAGAGAGTGCGATCGATCGATCGTGCGAATATCCAGACGCCTTGCGGCAAATACCACCGTCGCGCCAGCCGAGCCATCAGGGTGCCGGCTGGTCGAATGGTGGTGACGATGACAACGAATACCCAATGCCGACGATGACAATGATGATCAGGATGATGTAAACGAGCATGTCGACGATGATTTTAGGGTTGGTGATGATTATGATCATGATGATGATGTTGATGAACAGTGATGTTGCTGACAATGATCACTGGCAAGAGGAGGCGCAAGAAGACACGCCGTCACATCCTGCACCTCTCAGCCTCACTTCTGGGAGCTCATTCGGGCCGTCCTGGGGTTGTCCTGGGCTCTCGTGGCGCAGTCTTGAGACTCAATGGGGGCCGTCTTGGTGCCATCTCCGCCGTCTGCTCGGTCTCTTCGGGCAGTCGCGGGGCCGTGCCGAGGACTGATCGGGCCGTCGACGGGCCCTCTGAGGTCGTCTGTCTTGGAAGCCTCCTTCGGCGGTGTCGAACCGACGGATGCCCGAAAAGGCGAGAACGCCACACATGTTTTAAATCCCACGAGGGATCAGCATTCGGGCGCCTCTTCGGGCCCTGCAGCGAAATTGCGGCCAGGCATGGCGCCTGCCAAATTTGAACCACCCATTCGGATGTCCTTCGGCCTTTTCGGCTGAGCGCACCGCGGCGGCACGGGGGTCTGCCTTTAGTCACCATGCGCTTGCAGGTCGCCACCCATTTCCATGCGCATCCAGGTGCGATGCACACGTTGTTCGGGGCCCACGCTGGCAAGCATGTGTACTAGTTACTGTTACGCGTGCCTGCCCCGCCTTGCACTCACTCGCTCACTCCTGGGAGGTCAAACATTCTGACTTTGCCCTGGTCCGAAGTCCGGCTTGATCCGCTTTCCGTCCGCCTCACTCCTGCTCATCGGGCGTGGCCGCCCCCCAAAGTGGGGCTCGATCCTCCTGGATCCTTCCGACGACTTCCTCCCAGTCCCTGACCTTCCAGAGAGCTCTTTTTTAGCACTGGAGACCTAAAAACGTAAAAAACGGGACGAAACAGCCTAAAACCAAGACGTAGAATAGCTCTGGGATAGGTTTTTAAGTCGCGTGCTATTGTTTAGCCCTCCTGGAAGGTCAGGGGTAGTCACCCCCTGACGTCCACGGATTGGGTTCTTTCTCTAGGGGAACAAAAATTGACATAAGCATAAAAACTCGGAGGTCCGGGCGGATTTCTCGGATCGGCGCTGGACCCCCCTCCCTTGGCGCGCGGAGCGCGCCAGGGGCGGCGCCGGAGGCGCCGCCGGGGAGCCCCAGCGCCGATCCGAGAAATCCGCGCGGACCTCCGAGTTTTTCTGTTTATGCCATGTTTTGTTCCCCTATTCTCTGGTGTCATCGGTTTCCCCAGGGGGGGGGCGGGGGGGGGCGGGCGGGACCAAGCGGCAGGGGCGGGGAGCGGCCGGCGGGGGGGAGACGAGCACAGCCGTCGTGCCACCAGCGGGGAGCGCCACCGGGAGCAGCGGGTGGGCTTCTCCAGGCAGGGCTGGGCCCGACCGCTGTCGTGCTGGGCTTCGGCCGTTGCTTTTTCGCTGTTCTTCGTTCTGCCAGGGAGGTGCAGGAAAAAACAGGTCGGGCAAGACGGGCAACAAGACGAAACACGGCGTTTGGGTCCAGCCATGGTTCCAGTCACGGCGGGCTTGGGCCGCAAGCAGCTTCCACGGCAGAGATGAAACGGAACGGCCCGCAAACCCGAGCCCTGACGGAGCCCCAAGCGGTCCTCATTTTCCGGGTCTTGGCTGTATGGGGAGAGATGGGGTCTTCGTGGCCGGGGCCGCGATGTCTGCATGGATGGCATGGCCCCCTCCTACAGTGGGGGCCCATGCCAAGAAGCACCCTGCCTGCCTCCAGGGAGCCCTGGGTTTCCTGAGGTTTCGCTGGCTTTGCGGTGGACGGCGTGGCGTTCCCACGCCAAAAGCCCATGGACATCCCGGGGTAGCAGGGTTGGGTTTCGCGCCAGGAAAGTCAGCCACGTGAAGTGTTTCTCCAACCCCCCCTTTGCTATCCCCCCCTTTCGCCCGACCCGATTCTTGTGGGAGGTCTCTCGTGGACTTCGGGGGTGAACAGACCTCCTCCCCTGACACGTCGATGAGCCAATTGGCCGTTTTCAGTTCGCGAGAGGGCGTCGCGGCCGTCAATTTTTGCGGGTCCAGGTCCGTCGGTTTCGGTCCCAGGCCGTTTGCACTAAAGGGAGGTTTACAGCCGGCCCGGATTAGTAGCTCGACCCTGCCAGCTCGAGGGTACCCTTGTGTCCTGTGCCTCGCGACGCGTGCCTTCTTACACTCCTGTGGCAATGTGGCCCTCGCAAGGGTCTTGTGTCCTCTCGCGTGTCCTGTCCAATCGAGCCCGACTGTACCAAAGGGAGGTCTGTCCACCGCCGTGGATCGGGCCGGACGAAAGGGGGGGATTGGGAGAGGGGGGGTTACGGAATCTGCTGCATGCAGCTGGTTTCGGCCCCACCGAGGGG